CTTTAGAGGTGGTGATAAATGGATCCCAGGAAAAATTGTGGGCAAGAAGGGAACTAGAGTCTACACCATTTTGATCCACGGACAGGTAAAGGCCTATCACAGGGATCAAATTAGAAAAAGGTGGAGGAATGGTGAGGAAGATGAGAGTGGAGATGGAGAGCGTCAACCCGAGCACTCAAGAGGAGCAGGTCCCAATGCCATAATCTCGGAGGTTGTACGAGACAGAGGTTATATGGAGTCGCTGTCGCCAGGACTAACTAGCCAGCGGTCGGATCAAGATTCAGAGGTTCAGAGTGATACAGACGATGGAAAGTCATTGGAGCCTCTTCCCTCGCTGGACCCCGAGGCCTTGAAAGAGGAGGGTCCTGTCCTAAGGCGGAACCCACCTCGAGCGAGGAGACTTCCTGTGAGATTTGAAGAGAGAAGATGGTGATATATAGCTAGCAATAAATATGTATATATATATATATGTTTCTATGAAAATGTTAATCTGCAAGACGCAGGTTATCATCATCTTTGTTTTGTTGTTGTCACTTTTTGGCGTTTCGCAAAACAACAAAAATGCTGTATCAGACTTTACTAAGACAATAAAGATTTGCTACAAAATAAAAGTGTACTAAGATGCTGCACTTATAAACACAAATTGAACGCGTTTAAAGTCATTTAGCATAGACCAGATCTTTCTTTGTTATATATAAAAAATGCCATATTATCTTGTTTAGGATAGAGCTTTTACTGATTATTCTGTGAAATATGTTTAAACTTAATTCTCTTAATATAATTCAAAATTTTTAATTAAAAGGGCATATATATGATCAAAATATCATTTATTTTACCAATATTTCAGTTGGCTGAACGCCAACCTTTATCAAGGTGTTATAGCATATTTATGTGTGTCTTACACTTACATTTTCAAAATAATTCAAAATGTAACAATGCTAATATTCCACTAATTTACATTATACCATATCACTAACTCTAGAGAAAATACATTATATAATATTTGAAGAGGATTAGAATTCACATAAATTTCACATAATTTTACATATTTGTCTTATCTGTAGAATATTTTCATGTTAAGCCAAAACTCCTTTAAGAAGAAAATACAAAAGAGTAAATTGTTGAAAACTCTAAATGCTTTGATTTTAATGACAAAAAAAAAATCCCCTTTTTTCTTTGGTAATTATTAATAAATCGATATAGAAGCCTGATATAAATATTTATAAGTTATATTTAAGCGATCATACAACGGTTTAAAATTTTGGTAGTCTTTAAAATTAAACATAAAATAAATCATATGCTGCATAATAATAAAAAAAAAATGTCGCGTTGACCTTCGACATTTAAGCATTTTGTATTTAATTCCCTTTGGAATATATATTTAATTTCATAATATGATTATATTAATTATATATTTTCAGAAAATCATATTTAGTTTCCGATTCTGAAAATGCATCTGAAAATAAAATACACGCCTGCTCTAAATAACTAAAAATACAAAATCTACAACTTACCTAGTGTGAATTTCAATATTATCATCATATATTTATAAACATTTTGAAATGGCTCACTCTTGACTTGTGAGATACGCATTTTAAAAATATATTTATATTTTTTATAAAAATAAAACATATACAATTCAATTTTATTCATTTACATTACTTTAAAAAATAAAAAAATGGAAGATATATACGGCGAACCCGGATATGATAAGGATAATAATAAGCAGTTATTAATGGATATGGGTTTTGAAGGTGAAGATAAAATAATTCATGCCCTAAAAGTATCAAATAATGACATAAATGATGCAATTACCTATTTGACAAAAGAACAAAGACAACCGGAAAACTTTCAAGTTGCACAGCTTTCAAATTATAATTTTAGTTACCTACCCTGTTCAGATTTACCACCTCTGCCCCCTGAAGAAGTAAACAAACTTATTAATAAAGTCATCGATCCAATTGGAAATTCTGTGATTTGTGAAGTGAGTATTTTATATTCATATTATGCACATAAAAATCATAATCAAAAACTAACTCTTATGACCTTTAATTTATTGCCATTTTATTAATTTTTTAAAAATATATACACATTTATATATATAAATATTAATATAATACAGAAAATATATTTTAGAATTTTATATTTAGGTCAAAAATATATCAAAACATGTCATTTCTTACACTATTTATATATTTAAGAAGACATTAAATAGCTTAAATTTATTTAAAAATTAAAAAGAAATAGTTGGGGGAATATTTAGACAATTTTAAAGATGATGTTTTTATAGGGACTATTTAAACTTTAAAATCATTCTTATGCTATGGAATAACATAAATAAAATATATAATATTTGGGGAATTAAAAAAAAAAATCTGGAGACAAAAAAGATATTTAAATAACATTCGGTAACAACACTTTTACTGAAATGTAACACACTATTAATTTATTGGATTAGGTCTTATTTTCTTTTAGTTCTAATCTATAATCCAAATTGTGCTTTATCAATAATAACTATAGTTTTGACATATTGATTTTTTCCACCATTTTAAAAAATGGTAGCAGGTATTTTCTTCTTTTGATTTTAATTTTTAAATTACATTCACAACATTAATCACAGATATTTTTATTACTATATAAATTCTCAATTACAATAAATTATCTACAAGATGATAAGGCACAATTTGGATTATAGATAATAAAAATATGGTAATAAGACCAAATCCAAATAAATAAATAGTGTGTGACGTTTCGGTAACAGCCTTGTTACCATCTTCTGACAAAAATACTGAATGTAGTTTTGTCTGAAGTTTTTAAGTACTTTTGTCTGAAGATGGTAACAATGCTGTTACTGAAACGTCACACACTATTTATTTATTTGGATTTGGTCTTATTACCTTGTGTTTATAATCTTTTAATCCAAATTGTGCCTTATCAAAAATAAATAAAATAGCATAGCAAAAAAAAAAAAAAATCTTTTATTTAAAAAATCACAATTTCTTATATTTCATCTTTTATTTTAAAAAAATAATTTAAAATATTTATAAAATAGTATACATATATTTTAAACACAAGGTAATAAGACCAAATCCAAATAGTGTGTGATGTTTCAGTAACAGTGTTGTTACCATCTTCAGACAAAAATACTTTTTTTTTTTTTGCTTATCCCTAGTACACGTGGTACAGGCCATGATAATCATGGTGGGTAGTTAGCGACCGCTTTTTACTGTAAGCGCACCACATGTCTAAACATGTGAAAGCAGTTCGACTTTGCACTTACAAATGTGCCAGAGCCCCGTTTGGTTACTTGCACTCGCTGGTGGGGTTGAACTTTTGCAAGAATCGGGGGGCCATTGGAGCATTTTTTTTCAAACAGAAAAAAAGTGTCCAATGCGGGGATCGAACCCGGGTCCTAGTGGTCGAAAACCAAACGGTTTAACCAGCCTTCCACCGACCCCCCTATCAAGTATGTATATAAGATAGCAGATCATTACTGAAACATCACACACTATTTATTTATTTGTGGTCTTATTACCTTTTGTGTGACCAATCAGCATAAAAGCTATCTTCAAGCCATTAGCATTATTTTTCTTTTTAAGAATTTGACTTAGAATTTGTAAAAAAGAAAAAAATATATATATTCAACTTGGATTATTCATTTTAAAGTGGTCACATTTGTACATATTTCAATTTGTGTTGATATATATATTTTTCTCTTTTTATCTAACTAAAACTTGCATAAACACAAGGTAAGAAGACCAAATCCAAATAAATAAGTAGTGTGTGACGTTTCAGTAACAACGCTGTTACCGAAACGTCACACATTATTTATTTATTTGTATTTGGTCTCATTACCTTGTGTTTATAATCCATAATCCAAATTGTGCATCATCATTAAAACTTGCATACTAATTCTTGTACATATTTCAAATATCTTTCTTTTTTTTTCTTTTTCTTTCAAAATTGTGTTCATCTTTCATCTTCTTTCTTATCTCCACTCAATCACACTAAGGTATCAAGCTTGTAAAGCTTGAGATTTTTTTATGGTGTCTGCCGGGGAAGAGTAGAGCTCATCAATGGATGAGTCAATACAATTGTTTATCTTTAAAAGTACAAGTGTCCCTAAGGGGAACATAGCGTTCTAATAAAATAAATGAGGTTACATAGATGAGTTTATAGATGATTGTAACGTTTCCTATTTAGCAATAAGGGATAGTCACAATACTTCCAATCCAATCACAACAAGGTTATTGAGTAAAATTATTCAGGCCTCCAGGGAGAAAAGTGTCTTTTCAATTCAATGCAACACATGACAATTTCTGCAACTCTGAGGTTGAAAGAGACCTACACATGGGAGAACCTTTGAAAAAGTGTTGGGGAGGACAGAGATGGCACATACCCCTTTTAAAATATTTTCTTTTTAATACTTGAAGCCCTTGAGAGCATCTAGCTTCTCTGCTCAAACAAAAACTACACTTTTCTTTTTAACTAACTAGACATATGCAAATCCTCTATTATACATTAATTTTGCACAAGAATTTACATATATAAATTTACAATTTTTTTTTTAATAATTAAATTTAAAAATACAAATTATATTTAAACAATATAATTTACAAATTTTAAAGTATCTTACATTTAATGAAAAGATAATCACCTCTAACAAAAAGGAACTTTTCCTTGGAGGCATATTACTCATTATTGATGATGCAAGGAATTATTTTATTGAATTGTCAACAAAGTTAATCAAAATATATATATATATATATATTTTGCTAATCCCTAGTACACGTGGTACAGGCCATGATAATCATGGTGGGTAGTTAGCGACTGCTTTTTACTGTAAGCGTACCACATGTCTACACATGTGAAAGCAGTTCGACTTTGCACTTACAAATGTGCCAGAGCCCCGTTTGGTTACTTGCACTCGCTGGTGGGGTTGGACTTTTGCAAGAATCGGGGGGCCATTGGAGCATTTTTTTTTTTTAAACAGAAAAAAGTGTCCAATGCGGGGATCAAACCCGGGTCATAGTGGTCGTAAACCAAACGGTTTAACCAGCCTTCCACCGACCCCCCAATCAAAATATATGAACCAAACAAACATATGCAAAATTACCAAAAGTAAAGTAGTGTTCCCGACTGCCTAACTATAAAGAAAAATCAAAGAATAATCAAATAGTTTACTTAAATAAATACAAAGTATGTTACACACAATGACATATCTGGAAGAGAAAGGGATGAGTTGATGAGAATAAAGAGGTCTTGAAAAGATTTGTGTTGAAAGAGGTTTCGCTCTAAAGTTCTTCAGAAAAATGTAAAAAAAGAGATTGGATGAGAACCTATTGATGTGGTGACGCAACGTTTCTCCAAAGTGAAAGTGGGAAAATAGTTTATTTATTTTTTCTTCTTCTTTCTTATCTCCATACTGGGTGAGGTAGAATGCGTCTGCCTTTGTCATCAAGACTGGGAACACTACTCAGTGGCAGGCTGACTTAGCTCCAAAAGAAATGGCCGCCTCTGACATGAGGAACAGATGCCATGTGCAGCCGCTCCTAACATGGAGTACAAATGCTGATTTATTTTTTAAAACTAATTATCTCTCTCTGTCACGCAGAGAGATAGGGAGGTGATGTTTTGACTACGGACCATTTTGGATTGTTGAATGACTCATAGATAGCAATGTCTCAGTGAGAGTCCCACTAAAACGAAACTTGTAAAACAGCTTTCTTTCTGGATGAATGCCCTCAGGCTATCTTTGAAGATACCAGACTACCAAGGCTAGTCCACTCCTGGAGCCCATGCCTTATTGTATCATATTCCCCCGCGATAAGTTTATAAACACACAAGGTAATAAGACCAAATCAAAATAAATAGCTCTACATCCATCACCCCACCCTGATAAAAAATGATTTTAAATAATTAATAAATAAAACTGTCAAGGCACTGTCACACACTATTTATTTATTTGGATTTGGTCTTATTACCTTGTGATTCATATCATATCAAAGCCAAACCAGATACAGAACCAATATGGCAAATACCAATGCAGCAAAGAAAGTGTGAAATGATTGAAAGCTAAGTAAAGGAGAGCTTTGATCCTTTGGAATGTTGAGGTTACACTATATATATACAGCAAAAGCTCATCTTTCAAATCACCAATATTTGAATTTAAAAAAAAAAAGTTCATAGAAATATATACCAAGATCATATATCCAAATAAATACTATGTAGATATTTGTATCACCATACTTACCATCTTCAGCCTATGTATACCTTGGGTGGGATTCTATAATCCAAGTTGCTACCAAAATGTCAAATATAGAATGTTTATTTGGGTTTGTGCTCTTGTTGCTATTTCTATAAATAAAGTAGAAAAGTTTGTAGTGAGGTGGGGTGGGTGTTTATTTGTTTCTTACAAGTTTCCATAATATTTGCCCTATCCCAATGAAATTGGAAGGAGTCCTTCTCATAGTTCCATCCCTGAAATATGCAACTTAATCTTTTTTTTTGACGTGACAACGTCTTAAATTAGGTTGCGGCTGGGAGTCACTTATGAAAAAGTGTAACGCCCGGTAACGTTACGATGAGTCACCGAACGAGAGTGCTGCGCGCGCAGCGCTAGAGAATTAGGCGCATTGAATCGGCGCATGCTTGTCTCTGTCTTTGTCTTTCTCGAACGTTCTGGGCGTTGGAAAAACAAGAAAGCGTCATAATACAAGTTCACACGTGTGGTTAAAGTATCGTCAGCTGTGTCTGTAGTGAAAATGTGGAGTGCTTAGATTCGTCATTTACAACAACTACAACAATAAAGGTAAATAATTGTACACTGATATTTCATTATCGTAAACTATGATTGATTGATTAATTGTTAGATTGACACAAAAGTTGAGAAACTGAGTTTATAGGTTATGCCATACTATTGATAAATGTTGATAGTGTTAAGTAAATTATTAGTTTAAAATTAATTAATTAATTAATTATTATTTTGCAAATTTTAAATAGTTTCAAATTTATTTAGCAAAAATTTGAACCTTCGATCTGAATAAATGTTTTGATTTTCGAATTGATTCTTTAAAATTACAAATATTAAGAAAAAGTGGCAGATATAAGAAAACTTTATTTAAACTGTGTTGAGCAAGAATTTTAACATCTAATTTAAGTAAATGTTTTAATTATCAACTTCATCATTTACAATTACAAATTTTATTTAATTTCAAATTTATTTAGCAAAAATTTGAACCTTCGATCTGAATAAGTGTTTTGATTTTCAAATACCAACGCGGCTGGTGGAGTGGCGATCTATCGTAAATTATCATCGACATCTACGGCGGAAGTGTTCCAAGTTGCGATTACAGACGTAACTCCTGTCATTAAAACCAAGGGTGACATGTGCATGACTGAAGTTACTTGCTTCGCCGCTAATACTAGCTTCAAGTTTATACTCGGTGCTGTATATATTCATCCAGGAGCTAGTATGCAGGATATTGGAATGTTACTATGGCAAGGACTCGGTCCGTACATTCACAACAGCCAGTACGTGCCACCGTTCGTGCAAGTTGATTCTAGTATACCGATTCTTCTGTGTGGTGATTTTAACAAAAACGTAAAGCCTGACAACTCGTTTCTTAAATTCATGAAAAATACGTATAATCTTGATTGCGTATCAAACGTTTCTAAGTCAACTACGTTAAAAGGAACAACTATCGACTTGACTTTCGCAAGACACATTACAGCAGAAACACTTCCTTTCATTTCATATTTCTCCTATCATCGTCCTATCCTCAACAAAATCACTCAAATAGGAATTAGTTAAGTTTAAGTTTACATGTACAATGTTTTAGTAAACAAAATATATTTCTATAGTTAAAATTTGTGCAATTCTTATTTTCATTCAATTCCTTGTTCCTATTGTGCAATTTAATTATATTCATATCAATAAATATTCTACCGTTGTCACGTAAAATCTTCGCCCGTAAAACCGACTTTACAGGCAACCATTTGTTTTTTTTAGCTAATTTGCATATTCTGTTTCTTCCGCCTTGTTTCCACAAAATATTTGGTATATCAAAATGAAATTTTGAAAAAATATCAAGGTATGTGTAGGTAAGAAGTTGCTGTTAAATAGTTACAACCATGTAATATAGTAATTGGTCTGATAATAGGATAATTTGCATATTGTGTTCAGCATACTCGGGCACAACCCAGTCTATTTATTGATTGTCTAAACAACATAGTCAACTTCAAAGTTACTGGGTATAGCGATTAGGTACAATTTGGATTATATATTAGAAACACAAGGTAATAAGACCAAATGCAAATAAATAGTATGTGACGTATTGGTCTTCTTCTTCTTTCTTATCTCCACTCAATCATTGCCTCTGACATGAGGAACAGACTCCATGTGCAGCCGCTCCTAACATGGTGTACAAACGCTTCTCATCCTGTATCCCTGGATCAGGAGCCCTTACAGGGTACTATCAGCCTGGCCAGCTGAGTCCAGGTTTTTTAGTGAGCTTGTTACTGCTCCCCATCCTCCTTTTTCATCCGGGTTTGGGACTGGTAAAGGCGGAGTTACGCGGAGTTACGTATTGGTAATAACATTATTATTATCATCAGACAAAAGTACTGAATGTTGTTACCATCATCAGACAATATCAATCAGAAAATACTTTTGTCTGATGATGGTAACAATGTTGTTACCGGAACATCAAACACTATTTATTTGGAATTGACCTTATTACCTTGTGTTTGATATTCAACGACTTATTTTTAAAATTTCTACGGTGTCTTGAGCTTAGGTTTTAGAAAGATTTTAAAAAATAGGTAAGAGAGATAGAGAGAGTCATATATAAAAATCAAGTTGAGGACTGGGATCAGGACCATGGCTCCTATATTGACAACTGCTCTAGCCAAGGTTGCTGCCATCTGCAAGTTTTCTCTGAGTTATTCATCATTAGTTTAGTTTCGGTTTATCACTTCCTCATTGTTCCCCAATGTGAGGAACACCTGGCATCTCTTTACAGCTACAAAATAATAATAATAATGATTACTAAACTCCCAAGTAGACATAGCCCCATAGATGAAAATATAAACTAGATGAAAAGAAACAAATCCAAATTATCAAATTAGGAATGATGTTTTGGTAACAAGTATTCTTCTTCTTCTTTCTTATCTCGGTGAAGTAGAATGCGTCTGCCTTTGTCATTAAGACTGGGGGAAATACTCAGTTGCAGGCTGACTTAGCATAAGTAACAAGTCTGAATGATGGTAACTAAATGCTGTTATACCAAACCTCACACTTAATTTGATAATTTTGGATTTGGGGGGGGTCTTTTAGGATGGTAGAAACCATTAGAATCGCAGGTAATAGGAATAAATTGATATTAAAGACTTCTGAAAATTGAGATTGTAGGAAGGCAGCTAATTGGGACGACTGAAATTAGGATGGCAGATTAAACCAGACTTTCGAGAGAGGCCGCTGCTTATCACCAAACAGCTCAATGTCTCATTGGACTCATTGAATTTGTGTAATATTTGCATAAGGATATAAGAAACAACAACAAAACATAATTGGAATATCTTATATTAATTATAAGATTTGTAGACAAACAGGCAATGGAAGCAAGTAAAATAAAAGCTTTAAAAAAAGTTTGATTGTACAGTAGAACTTCCCTGTAAAGGACATCTAATTACAGAGCCAAAGTGTTCTTAAGGAAGAGGTGTCCTCTTACCAGAGAGTTGCTAAATTGTGAAAATGGTAATTTTGCAAATGAAAACTGTCTTTTGTAGAGAGGTGTCTGCTAGCGGGGTGTCCACTAAAGGAAAGTTTCTACTGTATAATGAGAAAGTACAATTTGGAGATTTTAGATTATGGCCGTATAAGAATTATTGATTTTGGATTTGGACTTGTTTCCTTAAATTTTTGATTGTATAATAAAAAAAGAAAATAAGATCTAATCCAAATAATTTATTAGTGTGTGAAAGTACCCAATGTGGGATTCGATCCTGGGTCTTCTTCTTTCTTATCTCCACACTGGGTGAAGTAGTATGCAACTGCCTTTGTCATTAAGCCTGGGAGCACTACTCAGTGGCAGGCCGACTT